AGTGCCGTGGCGTCAGCGTTGATCACAGCAACAACCTCAAACTCCTGGGCTCAAGCAATCCTGCTGCCTTAGCCTCCCGAGTAGCTGGGACTACAGGCCTGCGCCACCATGCCTGTCTAATTTTTTCTATATATATTAGTTGGCCAATTAATTTCTTTCTATTTATACTAGAGACAGGGTCTCGCTCTTGCGCAGGCTGGTTTCGAACTCTGGACCTCAAGCAATCCGCCTGCCTCGGCCTCCCAAGAGTGCTAGGATTACAGACATGAGCCACTGCGCCCAGCCAAAGATTTTAAGATTTAAGGAAGATATTTTGTTAAGCAACAAGAAAAGCTTCTAAGTGTTTACCATTATTGTTAGGAAAATAATGGAAATAAGAGCAGTGAGCTAGAAGTTAGTTCAAAATGCAAGTTCTGTAAAGATGGACATTTTTATTAGCCATGCACAGTCATGTTGAATATACATAGTTGTTTTTCTTGGCAGCCTCACTAGCAATAAATTATGGGATCATTCCTGGAAAGCTAGTGTGGTAGAAAGCAAAGCTTATCCATAAATCAAAACTTCTAGTAAGTTAAAATTTACTTCTTGGTGCCACCAGGTAGAGTTTCACTCCCATTACTATCCTGTATTTCTTTTTTAGTATATAAGTAGTACCCCCAAAAAAGTAAGGATACCCTCCCCTGACTTTGAATGCAGTGAGATCTAAATGATCCACTCCATTCCCACCCCCTACTTACACTGGCAGCTGTGGCCAGGGGTAGTCTGGCTAAGCTCCCAGTTCCTGAGTATTGAGATCAAAGATGTGTATATGGGAAAGTAGTACAGCTTGGAGGTTTGCTAGAGAACAAGTATAGCATTTTCTATAGATAGTTCCACAGAAACACAGTTAACCTGCATTCAGTATTTTCAAAGTAGCTAGGGATTTTACCTCTTTAGAGAAAAAAGGAAATAGATTTTATTTAGTTTGAATGGTGATCTGTATAGGTCATTTCTATATAATATGTTTTTACATTTCAAGATGTTTCTTTTCTCTCTTGGATTGTCCATATTTTAATACCTGTCCTTAGATTTTAAAGTGAGAGGTGATGAATGCAAAGCAAGATAATTACTTAAGGTCAGATCCAGTCCTAACCTGTACATATCCTATACCGGTATGGACACTCAAATGCTGGTGACCTTCTGGATGTCATCTTCAACGAATCCCTGTCAGTTGCTTGAGCAACAGCTTTGAGCAAAGCACATATCATTAAACTAAGAAGTATGAGACAAGATTCCTATTCTCTCCTGTTTAGTTCAGTGTTCCCCAAATAAATGTTGCTAAGGACCAGTTTGTTTTCTTATTTTGTTTTCTTGTTTTTAATTTCCAGTCCATCATGGACCAATACTTTTGGAAATATGATAAATAATGAATTACTAGGGAAATGAAATTTACGAGATATATAAACTAAGCCCCAATTTTAAATATTATTAGATTTACCACTTACAAAAGTATTCTGTCAAATTGCTATAGGATTTTTTAAACTCTTACTCTCACAGACCAGAAATGCATATTTCTTCATGAGCCAAAAACAGTGTGTGTGGATTAACATTGATCCGTGGATCATACTTAGAGTCACACTGGTCTTCTTGCATTGGGGCAATCATAACAACTACTCCTTACACTTAGGTTAAGTTTGGGCTGAATACACACCACACTTCTGCCCACACACAGTTACTCATTCCTTTCCCTCAGCCTGGAATGCCCTTTTCCCCCATCACCAGCTATTGAAATACCCCCATCCTTTCAAGATGTATTTTAAATGCCATCTTTTGCATCAAATTTTTCATGCCCTCACCAGTACCACCAACGGCTGCATCTGAGCTTCTGTCCTCTTTTCTGCGTAGTCTGCCTCATGCCATAGTTAGAAGATGACAGGGTAGTGGCATGGTAAAAGGGTTTGGGCTCTGGAATCAAAGAAACCAATGATTCAAGCCCAGCTTGAGTGGGTGACATTATATAAACTCTTAACCTCTTTGTTTCCTCATCTATAAAATGGGGATAATTATGGTACGTGTTCCAAAGAGTTGTTGAAAGTTAAATGAAACAATCCATGAAAAACATATTACAGAGTAACTGGCACATGCATAGTAAGCAGTCCATTAATATAACTGCTATTAGTATGTGTTCCTGACTTGTCTTCTCTGCCACCTCCTTCTTTAACTTAGTAGATTGAGGGCAATTGGTTGCTATCCCCTGTGGAAACTGGCTCAGTACCTTGCTCAACAAATATAAGTTGAATTTAAATGCTTGTGCCATTTAAATGATTCAAATGAGCAGTGGCATAGAATCCAGAGAGAAAGAAATTACTCATTGTTGGAGAGGTGAGAGAAGTTTCATGGAGATGATTGGGTATAAACTGAACCTTGGTTTAGGAGTCAGCATTTTGATCCTCATTGGTGGCAGGACCTGACACGTGCCCACGTGAACACTGCCTGGTTGGCTGGAGTGGAGACTGTACAGGAGCACTGGGAAGTAGAGTAGAAAAGACAGCCTAGGGTCAGATTATAGTGGATCCTCAAGGTTTCTTGGGGTGTTGCACTTTATCCTTTGAGTAGAGAGGAGTGCTAAAGTCCTGGTTGCTGCAAAGGGGAAATTGTAGATTGGGGAAACTGGAGCCCAGGGACCCAAAAAGGAAACGAGGAAACCGATGAAATCCTATTACCTAAACCTGCACTTCTCAAACTATTTCTCGGAGTATTAGTGTTCCCCCTGGTGTTGATTAATGTTACCTGGTTGCAGCGGGGAGAGAGTTCACTGAGAAAACAAGTGGGAGAATTATGATATCTCAAGCACCCCCCCCCCCAATGGAGACTGACCATTTGTCCTGACTTTTTGACAATGCTTAATATAAAAAGTCTGTTTATGGCCAGGTGTGGTTGGCTCATGCCTGTAATTATAACACTCTGGGAGGCCAAGGCAGGAGGATAGCATCAGGTAAGGAGTTTGAGACCAGCCTGAGCAACAGTGAGACCAAATCTCTACTAAAAATAGAAAAAATTAGCTGGGGGTGGTGATATGTGCCTATCATCCCAGCTACTCAGGAGGCTGAGGTAGGAGGATTGCTTGAGCCCAGGAGTTAGAGGGCACAGTGAGCTATGATGATGCCACTGCATTCGAGCCTGGGTGACAGAGCAAGACTCTGTCTCAAAAAAAAAAAAAAAAAAAAAAAAAGTCTGTTTAGAACTTCATTGGATTAGTGTTTCCCAGACTTGATTGGCCACAGAAATTTTAAGAAACAGTCCACTGGCCAGGCGAGGTGGCTCACGCCTGTAATCCTAGCACTCTGGGAGGCCGAGGTGGGAGGATCGCTCAAGGTCAGGAGTTCGAACCCAGCCTGAGCAAGAGTAATACCCCCGTCTCTACTAAAAATAGAAAGAAATTAATTGTCCAACTAAAAATATACAGAAAAAATTAGCCGGGCATGGTGGCGCATGCCTGTAGTCTCAGGTACTCGGGAGGCTGAGGCAGCAGGATTGCTTGAGCCCAGGAGTTTGAGGTTGCTGTGAGCTAGGCTGACACCATGGCACTCTAGCTAGGGCAACAGAGTAAGACTCTGTCTCAAAAAAAACTAAAAAAAAAAGAAAAAGAAACAGTGCTCTAAACGTTCCCAAACCAAGAGTATTGTAGTGAAAGAACAAGAAAAATGTGGCTCGCTCTTAGTGTTTAGCAGATCCTAGGACATTGGAGCAAGCAGGCTAGATAGGAACCATATTCTGTCTCGCACTGTTCGGTGTTGGACAAAAATCACTCTGAGCATGGATCTTGCAGTACATCACCATTTGCTGATGTTCGGAATGCCAGGTTATTCCTGTTCCACCACATCCATCTCTTCTGTCCATTGTGAGCGTCTACACACATGTCCTCTGTTGCCATACCTACACCCAACACATGGTGACTCCCAACCTTTGTGGAAGTGCAGTTTCTAATGAATTTATTTTTTTATTCTCCTTCCATATCTTCAAAAGACTTGTTATACAGGATGTTATATATGTAAAGGAAAGTGAATTAAACTAAGATTTTTTTTTAAAACAACAGCCCTTGAGAAATTTGGGAGTACCTTTGACTAGCAAAACCAGGGTTGGGATTCATTGAGCTATGCAGTCATACCATTTCCCTCCCCGCCTCATTTTAGCATAATTAAAATTGTCAGTAGTACTATCTTGCTGGGCCATTTATGCCCGAATTAATATAAATCTTGCATATTTTCAGAAAGTAATTCAATTTCAAATCATAATAGTACTATTCACTTCTTTAATGAATTTTAATCCATGTGCCATCAGTTAACTGTTAAAAATCAGGATGAGCTGATTATGGGCACAGTTGGCACTTAATACTTGTTTAGCAATTTAAGGTAAATGATTTTTTTTTTCAAGAATAATTATGGAGTAGATATATGTACAGTGCTTAGAACCCAGGACATAGTAAACGCTGCATGAAGTGTTTGCTACTGTTGTTGTTATTATTGTGTTATTATTGAAGGTTGGGATTAGGTCCTGTCCGGTTGTTATTTCCCAGCCTTCAAAATAGTCCATACTCCCCTTATCTCAATTGCTAGACATTTTTAAGTGAAATTGTAGAAGCATTTCACCTAAACAAAAACTATGTGAAGAATTAGAATTCATTAAATTTCTGAGTGGTTGACATAAATCATTTTGACCCAAATAAATTATTAAAATGAAATATTAAAAGCCTAAATCTTTGCAGATTTAAATAATATCCAGCTATTTATTTTTATATAATTATTTTACTAGACCTCTCATTTAAGACACAAGGCTTTTAAATGATTTTGTATGATTATACTCTAGTAAATTAAAGCCTTTCATACATTTCCCATATTATAGAAAAATGTATATTTATATACATTACTTTTAGTTTTAAAGTGCTTGTTGTAATTTTTTAATGTTTTTTAGAAGTCCAAATCTATAAATAACTAATTTTTTTTCTGCTTCAACTCTTCCAGCTTACTGAAACAAATGCAGGTATCAAGTGCTTGGACTCCATGTGCTGTTTCCCAGGAGAAACAGCGTGCACATCTGTTAGAAGAATGCTGGAACGAGTTATAGGAAGATGTAGTCCGACCCACATCAGCAGGTGTGAAATTTCTCTAAGTAGCCTTTGCTGCAAATGAGTATCCTATAAACCGGAACAGGATGAACCTGCAGCTGTAGATGCCTAATAAATCGGCAGCTGGTTTTAACCAACTGAAGCAGGAAGTCTGCTATTTATTAGCACTCTTTGGTGGTAGATTTCACTTTGTGAATTTGGGGTAAGAGGTTCTTTCACTCACAAAGGAACAGAAAGCACCTTTGAAGAGACTTTTCATCTAATGAACAAAAATTTTGTTTTATAATCTTTCTAAAATGTGAATAGGAGTATGTATATAGTACTCTCTGTTGGTTTGTATAACTTTCTTTTTTAAATTATACCTACATTAATAGTTTCTTTCTTGCCTTTTCTTTGTTTTTTGTCTTTACAAAATAATCTCCATATAACAGTAAAGTCAAAAGGCTTTGCTTTTCTTATTCTTCATGTGTATTTTCTGGTCAGTCACTTGAGACTTTCAGGTATTTATAAACACAAAAGGCTATATTTCTACTCCCCTGCCCCTTCTCGTGTCTGTAATGGAGCTCTGAATTGAGTTGTGATTTTTAAGTTTCTTTTGCTTGGTATTTGTTATCTAATTAAACATTTATAAGTCAGAACAGGCACTTTAAATTATGGATTAGAAGAATCAGCATTTTTGTCCATTCCCAAATCTATTTCTTGAATTAGATTTATTGCAGTGCTTGCTTTTGTGGACCATAACAAAAAAAATACCATTTTTGGTAAATGCCATTTAAAATTTGTTTAAAGGTGAAATGGATTTATTTCTTAATATATTTCCTCAAGAAAAACACCATTATTTAGGGGATATTAGGGAGTAGAAATAGCTTTTTCTACACATGGTATTACTTAGGTGAATGGTATCATATTCTCAAAATCAAAGCAGCAGTGCACTAGTGTGCATGGAAGGCTGCAGATGGGCAGGGATAGGTGGGGATTCCCATTGTCCCCAGTGTGCCAGAGACACATGTGCTGTGGCTTGGGAACGACTGGAGGGTACCTGAGGAGAAGGTTATAAGGGGTGTAGGAGGCACTAATCTTATCTACTAACAAAAGAATTTTTGATACTTGGTTAGCTTTGTGTTTCAAAAAATGATGAGTATGATATCATTCATCTATCATAAAATTCAGGTAACTTACTGATGAACTTGTTAGGTCTCACATTATCTTTAGCTATAGCCATGTCTTTATGGTGCAGCATTCTTATGTTAACATAATGTCTATGGTTTCAGTCTCCATTTATTCCAACTTGATTATAACATGTGATCTAAAATATTTCCATAATGCTGTGATATCATTTTGTGGTAATTGCATTTTATGTGAAAGGATTACTATGAGAAATTAAATTTATTGGGACTTTGTTATGACTTCCACAATTGTATTATAAAGTATAGCTCTGTGTCATGTACCTAGGCCAGCAGGTTTTCCAAAGGAAGTTCCAAAAGGACCTAATTTATAATATTACTTTACCCAATGACACAACTTTACTTCACAGAACCAAAATGGGAGTTAGACTAATATACAATAGGAATTTTTAAAATTTCTACTTCAACAGAAATTTCTCTTTAATGACAATATACATTTTATTGATATTTTTAAAAAACTAGAATTAAAATGCTCCCCAAAATTTCTGCTTTATACATATATCCATTGTCTTGATATCAATTATATAGGTAATATAGACCCCCATTATTCTTTACATAGCCATATTTATTATGAATTACCCCTTTTGAACCTGCCCAGGGGGTTATTGAATTTAATTTGGCATGTTCCCTTGAAGGTGGCTATTACCATCTGTACTTCTTTTCATTTAAAATTATATTGTATTATTTTCTCAGATTTTTTTAATTTTCCTAATAAAATGTTTAACTTAGAAGTTAACCTTATATTTGACAGACTATAAATGCCTTTTCAATTTTGTCCAACATCTCAGGTTATATAATTGGTTACCATTATTTTCTCCCTTTTTTCCTCAGATGAATAATCTAAAAGTCTTTTCAGATCTATTAACTTTTTTCTAGGGGACAAAATCATATAATACGCAGAGAGCTACTTGGTGCTTTTCAAAGGGCTATATGAAAATTGCCATAGATCCATTAACATGATATTTAATATATAATACTAAAAGTCATTTTGATAGGTAGGGGTTTGTTTTTATTTTTTATATATATTTGTGAAATATGTTTGGCATTTCCATTTTTATTTTGGAGCAGCTTATATTCTACATTTCTATTTTATGTCTATTTTAAAAGATAGGGCAAGACTGAGACTGCCATTACATGATATAGAAGCCCTCAGACATTTATTCCATTGACATATTAAGTATAAAAGTAATAGGCATCACTTTAGAAATAGAACTAGGCTGGGCGCAGTGGCTCACGCCTGTAATCCTAGCTGTCTGGGAGGCTGACTCCGGAGGATCACTCAAGGGTCAGGAGTCTGAAACCAGCCTGAGCAAGAGCGAGACCCCATCTCTACTAAAAAAAGAAAGAAATTAATTGGTCAACTAAAAATATTTAGAAAAAATTAGCTGGGCATGGTGGCACATGCCTGTAGTCCCAGCTATTTGGGAGGCTGAGGCAGGAAGATGGCTTGGGCCCCGGAGTTTGAGGTTGCTGTGAGCTAGGCTAATGCCACACACAGCACTCTAGCCCGGGCAACAAAGTGAGACTCTGTCTCAACAAAAAAGAAAGAAAGAAATAGAGCTAGTGCTTTTCATATGACAGATTTCTTTGCTTATTAAATTTTTGCCATCCAGGCACAAAAATTCTACCTGCATTTTATTAATCCATGTTGTTAATGGAGTATCCCTATTGCAAGCTCAGTTTCAAAGGGAGCATCATGGTGCTATTATGTATAAAGGATATGCCATGTTGTACCCTAAAGAGCTGTATTTCAGCAATAAATCATTTTCTGTGTGTGTATGTTACTAATAGTTACTTTATCATAATCAAAACTATCTTTTAAATAGACAGAAATTAATAGTATGTTCAGGTGTTGAATGCTCTGTCAAAAATCATATTTAACCTAAATGCACGTGTGTGCTTTGAAAAGTTAAAAAATAAAGGAAACTTCAATAATATTCTTCTTTGTAAGCAATGGTTGGAAAGAAAAAAAACTAATATAAAATATTGGCAGTTTGGAATTGGACATTTTACTCCAGGTAATTTAGGTGTTGATAGTTATGTTATAGTTAAAAGTTATAGTTAAAAGCATACTTTTTCCCCCATAAATACTTTTAGAAATTTCTATATTCTCATTTTATTCATTTTTCTAGAAATACCAGGTGCCAGAAACAGTTCTAGATGCTAGAGTAACAATAGGGAACAAACTCTTCCTTAAACTAAATAGATACTATTCAAACTTTTCTGGGGACTAGTAAAATTAGAAACTGCTATAGTTGCTGCTCGTTTTTTTCTTTGCCAATTTTATAGAGTTTCAAGATTCCAAACTTCATTATGGCTGTGCTCACTTAATAATTGATTTAAACTTGAACTGCATACAAACTTAGAGTCTCTTGGAAACACAAGATATATTATAAAGGTGAATTGGGGTCATTTTAAATGCTATCTTCCTCTAACATCTTTGTTTATCAAAGGTGGGAACCCTGGCAAAAGTTACATAAAAATGTCTTTCTTGTTAAGTGCTTTTAGTCTCGTAAGAAAAGCCACCTTTCACTTGGTAATCCTAATGTTGTCCTTGAACTAGGTTAGTCTATTTTAAGCATGGCAGGCTACTTTTGGTCTTGAGTTATTTTAGCTTAAATTAACTCAAGCTAATTTAAGTTTACAGCTGCAAATAAAGTGTTATGTAATGAATTGCTTAAGGGCCTTATCATTCAGACCGCAGTTAACTTCTCCAGGCCCAGTAGAGGATCTTAGTTCTTAGTTAAGTGAAAACGATAGTGACCTACAGGTGTCTTTGATACCTTTTGAATAAACTATTTGCTACATTCAAGCTAATTATGCTAAAGTCTTTAGAATAGAATTTATAGCTGAAAAGAAATGAACAATAATATGAACATACTACTATTCCATTCCAAAGCTTTGGGTGAGTGGGATTTTTTTTTTATTTCTGTAAACTTAACTTTTCAGTAAAATGGGATATATGTAACTCTTAATAACGTACTTATTTCTTATTAAATTATTAAGATTTTTAAAGCAGCTTATGCTTTACTACATATAAAAATTATTTTAATGCTATAATGAATGTCTGAATTTTGGCTAATATTTTTATATGATGACTAGAGCATTATTTTCCCCACGTTTTTGTATAATGTATAAATAGAATGGGCACTCAGTATAAAGAACTTCTCTTTAGCATTTAAAAATAAATCAATCAGTGATGATTTTAAAACTCAATTTGCATTTTGGTCCTAAGTTTTAGAGGGTAATTTTTTCTCAATTGAAACATAGGTTCTGGTGAGCCAAACTTTTCTCTTATTGTTACTTTAGATCATGGAGTGCATCGGATCCTTTCTATACCAACGACAGGAGCATCTTGACCCTCTCCACAATGGACTCATCTACTTGTTAAAGGGGCAGTAGTACTTTGTGGGAGCCATTCCACTTCCTTTCCTAAAATTCAGTGTGATCATCCTGTTAATGGCCACACTAGCTCTGAAATTACTTCCTGAAATCTTTGGAGTAGTTCATACACACTCAGAGTTAGATGGCAAACAAGCAGAAAGCATTAACAGGAGCCCCTTAATTTGAATCTGAACATGTTAAAATTTGTGAATCAAGAGACATTTTTCATCTCTTTGTCTGGTTTGTCCCTTGTGTTTATGGGCCTCCTAATGGCATTTCAGCCTGTTGCTGAGGCCACTATATTTTAATGTCAAGGTAAAAAAGAGATAAATCCTAGTTATGTGTATTTTTTAGTATTAGCTCTTCTATTTAAATCTGCTTCTGTAAATTATGCTGAAAGTCTGCCTTGAGAATTCTATTTTTTTATTAGAGTTATATTTGAAGCTTTTCATGGGAAAAGTTAATGTGAATAATAAGGAATTTTGGTCCCTCAGTGACCTGTATTGTTAATTCGTTAATGTTTTCTAAGTTCACAGAGCGAATTAGGTGAATAATTTCCAACCATTATTTACTGCAGTATGGGTAGTAAACTTATACCAATACCAAATTTCTCTAACTGTACTGTAATGCAACCTGTAAAGCTAGCCATATAAATACAAAGGGTATATCATATCTTATCTATAAATCAGGAATTAGGTCCATTCACCAAATTTCAAATTGATCTGTACTGATATTTTTGTGACACAATATGAAGAATCTATTGTGGGTAAATTAGATACCTTAGCATATTATTAATGTCTTTATCATTGGATCTTTTGCATGCTTTAATCCAGTTAATATATTTAAATTTGCTTCTTTTCTCTTTATCTGAAGGCTCTGTTTATAGTATTTTATGACAATGTTGTGAAGTTCAACTATATCAATAAAAAACAAGTTTGGACAGTATTTAAATATTGCAAATACTTTTAATTATACAAATCAAAATATTATGGGTAACTAAATTAATAAAAAGAAAATAACCTCTTTCTGTGACCAACTTAGAATTGCTCTTGCCTTTCTGTAAGGTAGCATAAAGGATTTTAGTTAAGAATCTTGTTGTTTTTAGGCTAGCATATGTTATCTAAGTTACCACAGTAAAGTAAATTCTGCCTAGAGTCCCATTATAAGGTATAACGTCAGGCATGGCTGTGGAATGTAAATGAAACAAAGTCTAAAATGCTAAGTTTTTATCAGATAATGGCAACAATAAATTAAAATGAATGCTAAAAATGATTATTCAGGTATATGTTACCTTAATTAACTCATTGTACTTCAAAACTTAATTTCCATCCCAAATTTTTCATATAGGTTCAATCTTGTCATTTGTTAAAAAGTGATGTTAAGATTTAGAAATGATTAAGAACTATTACCCAGCTATAAGCAAATAATGATTATATACAAATATATTTAAAATTACAAGGCCGGGCGCGGTGGCTCACGCCTGTAATCCTAGCACTTTGGGAGGCCAAGACGGGCGGATTGCTCAAGGTCATGAGTTCGAAACCAGCCTGAGCGAGACCTCATCTCTACCAAAAATAAAAAGAAATTAATTGACCAACTAAAAATATATATATATACAAAAAATTAGCCAGGCATGGTGGCGCATGCCTGTAGTCCCAGCTACCAGGGAGGCTGAGGCAGTAGGATTGCTGAGCCCAGGAGTTTGAGGTTGCTGTGAGCCAGGCTGACGCCACAGCACTCACTCTAGCCTGGGCAACAAAGTGAGACTCTATCTCCAAAAAAAAAAAAAAAAAAAATTATAAGAAAAACAGTTAATGAGGTTTTGCCAAATTTTTCCTTGAAAATATAATTCCTTTTTGGAGATTTATTGTGCAGCTCTTCACTCCTTTCCCATTTCATGAATACAAAACTTCTGGAATTGGGCTGGTAGGGAAAGAATAGTAGAGACAAGAATTAAGGCTTTACCTTTGCTTACTAGTAAACTATTTTCTTAACATTTCTCTGTTTCGATATGCAAGGATATTAAGTTATTACTTTCAGGCTAAATATTAATTTTCAAAAATAACCCTTCTTTAACTTAGAAATTCCAGAGTTAGGTTTAAGAAGATCTGTTTTTCTGATAATACATTAAAGAGGTAATACAGTGTACAGTGTATACACTCACCAACTCATGTTCCAGAAAAGGAAATACTGCAGAAATATTCAGTAGAGTAATTTAATGGAGGATAATATGGAATTTGCTTTCTCATAGAATGTCTTATAAAATGTACACATAACAAATTGATATTCAGTAGCCTTGCATTACCTCTTATGGTGTTTATTTGCCATCCCATAAACTACTAACACTAGAGAAGGACTACAAAGTCATCAATAGTCTGTGACCAACTGCAGCAAAACAGGAGCAGCAGTTAGCCTACATGGTGCTTAACGGGTGATTGATGTAATTTTCTGCACTCACCATTTGAAGTTAAAAGCTTTATATATATAAAAAAAAAAGTAAATGGCATCCACTGGTGTGCTCATCCTATTCTGTGTTCAAAACCTTCATTTTTAAAGGAAGATTATCTTGTAATTTTATGAAGAATTTTATTCTATTTATTTAAGAAAGTAACAATGTAGTCTATAATCTTTCAGTAGTTTTCTAAAGCTAATATTCATATTGTAAAACCATTACTACATAACCAATAATCACAAGAAAAGTTTCCCCTTTGCATATTTCTTCAAAATTCTTTGGAAAGTATGATGTTGATAGTTACTCTTATCTTGCCCAAACCAGAGCAAGATGCTAAATGTGTTATTGCTAGTTAATTAGTGTTCTCAAATCTACTTGCCTCACTGGCCTGCCTTTGCCTAGTCTGCGGCTGTAGCCTGAAGATAGTGGCAAGCACCAAGTCAGGTTTCAAAATTGCCCATCAGCTGCGTTAGGTGACTCGGCACCAGCACCCTGCCTCAGCTTCAGTAAGCATCGGCTCACCCTGGGAGGAATAGAGTGTGGGCCAGGGAGAACTATGGCTACCAAGGTTTGCTGTGAGTTGAGAAAAGGAGAGAATTTACATCTAAATTTTCTAACTGCCCTCCTTGGGTCTGAAGCTTTAAGATGTGCAAAGGCATCCAGACCTGACCCAAACCCAGGCACTATCCTAGGCAGGAAATTAAACAGAGGCAAATCACCTTGTTAGGAAATACCTGCATTCAGCCTATTATTAATACCAGGACTTAGGTCATTTCTACTGCAGAAGATTGTGAAATTGAACTTGTCTGATAGCTTGAGACTCCTGGTAAACAGGAGTCAAGGCCACTAACAATTTGACAGTTCACAGCTGAAAGTGTTTAAAATATGCTAACTCTGAAAATCTCTTGGAAGCTGGGGGAAAAAAATCTTCATTGTTTGTGTTTTTCCTGTAAAGATAAATTTGGGGTATGGTATAAGCAGGTATTAATAAAACTAACACACCAAAGAGTTACATAAAATATGTTTTATTAATTTTGGTCCCCATTTATAGACATTTTTATTTCTATCTTGAAATGAGTTATATATTTTCATAAAAGTAAAACATTATTAAAGTGCTGTTTTACATGAAATGAGTGATATTCCTTAAAAAAAAAGATCATAATGATATGTTTGTAATCATGGTTATTGTTAGATTTTTATGAGATATGAGTATCTGGAAATATTGTAGCAATACTCAGTTTAAAATTTTGGACCTCAGACACTGTGGCTGTCTAATGTAATCCTTTAAAAATTCTCTGCATTGTCAGTAAGTGTAGTATACCTATTGTACAGCTCTCAGTAATTTTTTTAATGTTTATGAAGCTATATTTATCAAATAAAAATTTTCATACAAAATTAAGTGTCTCTCCATTATTTAAGCATTTTAAGCCTCTTTCTGCTCACCACAACCAGCACTGCTAAACTTGTTTCAAGTTAAATTTTATTATATTTACTCTCCATTATAGTACAGAAATATCATTTGTGCTTTTCCCTGCCTGCGGTTTTTAAAAGTGTAATTCTTTGATTACCCAGGTTTTATAGATTATTAGTACAACTCCTCAAAAAGGGTCTGATAGAAATGTACCAACTGTAAAGACAAACATACTTCAACTGGAAATTGCATCATTCATGAAGGTCAGCCAAGAGCACTTGTAAATTTGGAAATGCCCTTGTTCATATAAAATAAATGCTGTTTAAAAATATATAACTGATCCAATATATAGTTATATATAAAATTTCCAATTTCCCAATGACAGTCATTCCTAAAGCTTCCTCGGTTGCCAGTTAGAACATATGTAATTGTTTAATCTACATTTATTTCAAAAGTGAAGCTGTTGTCTTAGCCCAGATGTTAGTATTTGCAGAGGTTTATAATGCATGATTTATATACTGTATTTCTGAAATGAAATAAGAATATGATCCTGGACAAATCAATTTATCTAGGCATCTCTTATTGTATTTAAAAAGGAGTTTTGGCGGGGCGAGGTGGCTCACGCCTGTAATCCTAGCTCTCTGGGAGGCCGAGGCGCCTCTGGCGGATTGCTCGAGGTCAGGAGTTCAAAACCAGCCTGAGCAAGAGCAAGACCCCGTCTCTACTATAAATAGAAATTAATTGGCGCAAGGGCGTATAATATATATATATGGTAAAATTAGCCGGGCATGGGTGGCCGCATTTGCCTGTAGTCCCAAGCTTAGCTCGGGAGGGCTTGGGCGATAGATCGCTTATTGAGCCCCGGGTGTTTGAGGTTTTTGCTGTTTTGAGCTAGGCTGACGCCCACGGCACTCGAACTCTAGACTGGACAAAAACCAAGTGAGGATTGCTCTCAAAAAAATAAAAAAGGTTTTTATTGGGCCGGCCTGTGGTGGGGCGCGTTTATGCCTGGAAATTCCTAGCCGCACTCTGGGGGAGGCCCAAAAGGGAAAAATTGGCTCGAGGTCAGAAGTTTCGAAAACCAGCCTGAGCAGAAGCTAGCCCCCTTCTCTAAATAATTAAAAACAGAAAAGAAATTTATTGGCCAAAATAATATTATAGGAAAAATTAATCGGCATGTGAACGCCATTTGCTTGTTCCCAGCTTACTCGGGAGGCTGAGGGCAGGAGGATGCTTGAGCCAGTTTTTGAGGTTTGGCTGTGTGAGCTTAGGTTGATGCCACGGCATCACTGCTTAGTGGCAAACAGGCGAGAATGTCTCAAAAAAAAGATCTTTGATGTTCTAAAGACTAACTCTTTAGGGTATTTCTTCTTTAAGCTTCTAACATGCACAAGCAAGGGTAGAAGCTGATGAATATATGGGAGTAAGAAATTCAGGACAGAAAAAGGCTTCATTAGAACAATTTCACCGGTGAATTGTGAATTTAAACATACAATTGTCATTTACATTGAGAGATCCTAAGAAATCAAGGCAAGAGCCTGTTTGAATGAGATGGAGGTAAAGTCACAACAATTCTTCTGTGACAACTCTTTTTCATAATTTTAAGGTAAATTATTTGGTATCAGAATTAAGTTTTAGAAGTAAAAAGGCATTAGATCTTAGGATTATAGTAAGTTCAACACTTTTAATAAATCTATAAACACCTGTGTAACCCTTTAACACCCAATCCATAAGGAATCCTTCCTTCATCAGAAGAATGTTCCCCTTTGCAGTGATTCAATTCCCCTTTTCTGTCCAAAACAACTATTTTTGACTTCTATTGTTTTCATTATTATGGCTTGCTGGCCTTTTCTGTGTTTACATAAAATTGGATGTATACATGTGTTTTTACTTTTGTATCAGGTCTCTGTTACTCTACCTTTGTCTATGTGTCCTGACCTATTCATAAAGATTCACTGCCGTGTTGTAAATGTGTGTATCCATAAGTTTTTATTTTTTGCTACTCAGCAGTGTTCATTGCATGAATGATAATGATTTGTTTATCCTTTCTCTCTTTAAAAAATCTGGTTTTTTTTACAATTTGTGGCTATTGTAAATTAGTTATGAACAATTCCTTTGGGACTTATTTATTATTTTCTTAAATAACTTAGGATGTAGAATTTGGAGTTGTAGGGTCATGGGAGTTAGGCACATGTTAACTTTGTAAAAACTGCGAGAAGTTTCTAAGTGTTTACATCATTTACACTCCACCAGCAATGATAAGAGTTCCATTTCCAATCTCTGCAACATTGGGGTGTTGTCGTCTTTCTTTAATTTTCACCAATTCTCATAATAAGATGTGAAATATCGTCACTATGTTTAATATTGCATGTGACTGATGATGTAGACTTTCAATGCTTTATTGGGTGGTATCATTTTTTCTGAAAATACTGTCAAGTCTGTCTGGCCGTTTTTTTATGTAGACTACTTATTATGAATCATGAATCACTGGAAGTCTTCTCAGATTTATGATTGCTAAGCATTTTCCCCAATTGCTGGCTTGCTGATAGTTTTCTTATTGTGATCTGGTGGGAACAGGAAGTTCTTTATTTTGAAGAGTGCAATTTTTTGGTTTTTCCTTTTGATGGTTAATCTTTTGTGTGTCTTCTAATAAACGCTTGGTGACCCGAAGGTCATGGTGATTTTTCCTGTGTATTCTTCTGAAAGCGTTATGCTCCTAACTTTATGTTTCCGGTCATCCTAAATCTCTGTGTGTTGATGTGAGGCAAGATAAGGATCTTCCTTCCCCCAACCCTCCATCAAGGTTGTGTTGTTTGGTTAGCTCCATGTTATTGAAAGATATCTCGTTCTTCCGTTTGACATTAGTAAGGTACGTACTTTTGTTTAAATAATTGACTATTAAGTATGGGTCTATTTCTGGATTCTGATATCTGTTTATCTTTATCTTTTGCACTAATAGCACACTGCCTTGATTACTATGGCTTTATAGTCTTGCCTTTGATTGAAGTAGCCGAGATGTTGTTTGCATCCTAGTGTCATTTTGATTTCCTATAAATTTTGAAATCAGGAGTTGATCATTTCTCAAAACCAAAACCTTGATGTGGTTTGATTGTATTGGCTCTATATCATAGATCATCTAGAAGAATGGACAGTTAAATATTGAGTTCCCTCCATCCGGGTGAACAGATGAATATTCTCCATTTATTTTGTCTCAGTTGATGTTTTGTAGATCGGCAATCCTTGATATAAATCTAAATTTTTTATGGTTTTGATGATATTGTTATGTAAGTGGAATATTTTAGAATTCATTTCCAGTTATCAATAGAAACCGAAATATATATTTTGTATGCTTTCTGAATGAAATAAATAGGTATGATCCAGACAAATCAAGTTTGACTTGTAAGCCTATAACCTTGGCTCAAGTGTACTCATTGTGCTAGTAGGGTTTTTCCCACCTTTTTAATAAGATCCTTTGGGGTTTTCATTACACAATCATGTCATCTAAGAACGACAAGTTTTAGTTTGCCTTTTCAATTTTGCTTGCCTTTCTCTCTTGTTATGGCTGCCTGTCAACTGCTGTCTTCTGGGTACAGTGTTAAGTAAGCATGGTGAAGAACCAGATAGATGTTGAATTTTGAAAATGCTTTTCTTATTTTGGATGATGTTTTAATTTTTTAATTTGGTAATAGGTTATATTTTGGTTGTTTTATCAATATTTACCAACTTTGCATTCTGAAATAATCAACTTGCTTATGGTGTTATCCTTTTGTATTTTGCTGTTTGATTTGTTATACTGTATTAGGGTTTTGTAGCTATGCTTATGGAGGAAATCTTCTGTAGATTTCCTTATAGATCGTTCTTGGCAGTTTTAGTATTAGGGTTAGTTTGGACTTGTAATGATTTGGGAATGTTCCCTCTGTCCCATATTTTCTGGAAAGACTTTATGATAAGGTTGGTATGTATTCTTCGTTTAATATTTAAGATCCATATTTAAGTCATGTAGGCCTAGAGCTTTATTAGTTGTGGAAAGGTTTTGATTTAATCAATTTCTGAAAATACAGGGCTGTCAATTTCCTTCTTGTTTATTTATTAAATAGATTTTAGGTAATATGGGCTTTTGTTACTTGGATGAATTGGATAATGAGATCTAGGTTTAATATACCCATCCCAATAGTGTACGGTGTATCCAATAGGTTAATTTTTCATCTGTATCCTCCCACCTCTTCTCCAATGTTCATGGTATGTTGCTCTGCGATGACTATGCATACTCATATGTTTACTACATTATAAGTAGAACAGTGTGGTTATTGTTTTGTTCTTGGGTTATTCACTTAGAATGAGTGGCCTCTAGTTCCATCAAGATGACTGAAAAAGACATTAATTTCATCCTTTTTGATGGGTTGGTTTCCACGGTATGTGTGGTTCTTGTTTGTGTACACACACCACATTTTCATTATCCACATCATAGTTGATGAGCACTTAGGTTGATTCCCATCTTTGCACGATGAATATGCTGTGATAAACATATAGTGCAGATTCTTTTTTATAAAAATGATTCTTTTCCTTTGGGTGGCCCCCCAGTAAGTGGGATTGCTGATTGAAATCTTAGATCTATTTTTAGTTCTTTGAAAAATCTCATACTGTTCCAAACAGGTTGTACAAATTTGCATTCCCATAAAACATAGATAAGCATCCCTTTCACCACATGGCACCAGCAATCCATCGTTTTGGGTTTTCGTTTGTTGGTTTTTTTTTTTTTTTTTTTTTTGTGAGACAGAGTCTCACCTGCTGCCCGGCTAGAGTGGCGCATGCATCAGCCTACGCTCACAGCAACCTCAAACTTCTGGGCTCAAAGCTGATCTGTGCTTGCCTCCCAGAGCGGCTAAGCATCGCACCGATGTCTGGTACTTTTTTCATGTACATATATATATTAATTGGCCAATTAATTTCTATTTTTGGTAGAGATGGGGTCTGGCTCTTGCTCAGGCTGGTTTCAAACTCCTGACCTTGAGCGATCCTCCTGCCTCAGCCTCCCAGAGTGCTAGGATTACAGGCGTGAGCCACCTCGTAGGGCCACATCCATTGTTTTTTGACTTGTTAATAATGGCCATTCTGCCAGGGGTAAGGTGGTAGCTCATTGTGGTTTTAATTTGCATTTCCTTAATGATTAGTGATGTTGAGCATGTTTTCATACATCTGTTGCCCATTTGTTTCTCCTTTGGAAAATGTCTGTTTATATCTTTTGTTCAATTTTTAATGGGGTTATTTGTTTTTTTCTTGCTGATTTGTTTGAGTTCCATGTAGATTCTGGATATTAGGCCTTTGCCAGGTGTATAGCTTGCAAATATTTTCTCCCATTTTGTAAGTTATCGATTTACTATGTTGATTGTTTCTTATACTGTGCAGAAGCCTTTTAATTTAATTAAGTCCCACTTATTTATTTTTGTTTTTGCTGAATTTGCTTTGGGGGGGGCCTTAGTATGAATTCTTACATAGGCCAATGTCAAGGATAGTTATTCCTTGGTTTTCTTCTACTGTTTTTTTTTTTTTTTCACACTGTAATATCTTTAATTGAGTACAAATAACTTTTTAACATGTTATTATGTTACATGGAGACCATTTCACCCGCTGCTCTGTTTGGCTGCCAGTTTCTTATCCCTCTCTTTAGCAATGGTGAGGCGGATACCTTTTCCTCGAGGAAGAGAAATCCATGGTTTGTTGCCTTTGCCAATAATGAAAATGTTGGAGAGGTGAATGGCAAAGCGGTTGCCATTGGCATCTTTCACGTGAACCACATCAAAAGACCCGGGATGTCTTTCTCTGTTGGTGATCACACCAGTTCTTCCCAGGTTAGCACCTCCCGTCACCATACATAGGTTACCAATGTCAAAATTGATGAAATCAGTAATCTTGCCAGTCTCCAAATCAATCTGAATGGTGTCATTCACTTTGATGAGTGGATCAGGGTAGCGGATAGTGCGAGCATCATGAGTCACCAGATGAGGGATTCCTTTTGTGCCCACAAAGATTTTTCTCACTTTGCACAACTTGTACTTGGCCTCCTCGGGTGTGATACGATGAACAGCAAAGCGACCCTTGGTGTCATAAATCAGACGGAAATTCTCTCCAGTCTTGTCAATGCTGATGACATCCATAAATCCAGCAGGGTAGGTTACATCAGTTCGTACCTTGCCATCAATTTTAATGAAGTGTTGCATGCAGATCTTAGTAGGGTTTTCCCTTTCTTAATAACAATCCTTTGGGTTTTCATGTACACAATCATGTCATCTAAGAAGACAAGTTTTAGTTCTTGCCTTTCAATCTTTGCCTTTGCCTTCTCTCTTGTTACTGCCTGTCAACTGCTAGTACTTCTGGTACAGTGTTAAATAAGCATGGTGAAGACCACGATAGATGTTGAATTTTGAAAAATGCTTTCTTCTTTCTGATGATGTTTTAATTTTTAATTTGGATAGAGTTAATTATTTGGTTGGTTTTTCAATATTTAACCAACTTTGCATTCCTGAAATAAAACTCTTGCTTATGGATTGTATCCTTTTGTATTTTGCTGATTTGATTTGTTATACTTGTATTAGGGTTTTGTAGCTATGCTTATGGAGGAAATATTCTGTAATTCTTATAATGTTCTTGGCAGTTTTAGTATTAGGGTTATTTGCGCTTGTAAAATGATTTGGAATGTTCCCTCCTTCCCTATTTTCTGGAAGACTTTATGATAAGGTTGGTATTATTTCTTCTTTTAATTATTTGAAGATCCATCATTTAAGTCATGTAGGCTAGAGCTTTTTTGTGGAAGTTTTAGATTTCACATTCAATTCTGAAACATACAGGGCTAGTCAATTTCCTTTTTATTTATTAAATAGATTTGGAATATATATGGGCTTTTGTTACTTGGATGAATTGGATAATGAAGATGTCTAGCTTTAATATACCCATCCCAATAGTGTACGGTGTATCCAATAGGTAATTTTTCTCTGTACTCCTCCACCTCTTCCAATGTTCATTATGTTGCTCTGGATGACTATGCATACTCATTGTTTAGCTTTATAAGTAAGAACATGTGGTTATTTGGTTTTGTTCTTGGGTTACTTCACTTAGAATAATGGCTCTAGTTCCATCCAGTGATGAAAAGACATTATTTCATCTTTTGATGGCTGTGTGTATTCCACGGTATGTGTGGGTTTCTTGTTTGTGTACACACACCCATTTTCTTATCCACTCATCAGTTGATGAGCACTTAGGTTGATTCCATCTTTGCAATCGAGACTATGCTGTGATAAACATATAGTGCAGATTCTTTTTTATAAAAATGACTTCTTTTTCTTTGGTGGCCCCCAGTAAGTGGATTTGGATTGAATCTTAGATCTATTTAGTTCTTTGAAAAATCTCATACTGTTTTCCAAAGGTTGTACAAATTTGCATTCCCTAAACATAGATAAGCATCCCTTTTCACCACATGGCACCAGCATCCATCGTTTTGGGGTTTTTTGTTGGTTTTTTTTTTTTTTTTTTTTGGGACGAGTCTCACTCTGCTGCCGGCTAGAGTGGCCATGGCATCAGCCTAGCTCACAGCAACCTCAAACTTCTGGGCTCACAGCTATCTGTGCCTTGCCTCAGTAGCGGGACTAAGCATCGCCACGATGCTGGTAATTTTTTCATTATATATATATTATCTTTGCTGTGAGCTAGGCTGACGCCACGGCACTCACTCTAGCCTGGACAACAAAGTGAGACTCTGTCTCAAAAAAAAAAAAAGGCAGTTTTATGGGCCGGGTGTGGTGGCTTATGCCTGTAATCCTAGCACTCTGGGAGGCCAAGGCGGGCAAATTGCTCGAGGTCAGAAGTTCGAAACCAGCCTGAGCAAGAGCTAGACCCCGTCTCTAATATAAACAGAAAGAAATTAATTGGCCAACTAATATATATAGAAAAAATTAGCCGGGCATGGTGACGCATGCCTGTGGTCCCAGCTACTCAGGAGGCTGAGGCAGGAGGATTGCTTGAGCCCAGGTATTTGAGGTTGCTGTGAGCTAGGTTGATGCCACGGCACTCACTCTAGCCTGGGCAACAAAGCGAGACTGTCTCAAAAAAAAAAAAAGAAGTTTTATGTTTAGACTATCTTTAGGGTGATTTCTTTCTTTAACTTCTAATGCACAGCAAGTAGAACATGATGAATAATGAGTAAGAAATTCAGGACCAGAAAAAGCTTTCATTAGAAACATTTCACCAGGAAATTAGTGAATTTAAAAACAATTCAAGTTTTTACATTGAAGACCTAACTGAATCAAAGGGCAAGGCTGTTTGATGTAAATGGAGGTAAGTCACACATCTCTCTGTGAACAACTCTTTTTCATAATTTTTAAGGTAAAATTATTTGTATTCAGATATAATTTCTAGACAGTAAAATGCATAGATCTTAGGATTATAGTTCAATCACTTTTGATAAATCTATACACCTGTGTAACCCTTACACCAATCCATAAAGAATCCTTCCATCATCAGAGAATGTTCCCTTTGCAGTGAATTCATTCCCCCTTTCCTGTTCCAACAACTATTTTTTCTGACTTCTATTGTCATATATTAGCTGTGCCTGTTCTTGTTTTACATAAATGGAATTATACAATGTGTTTACTTTTGTATCAGGCTCTGTTACTCTACTTGTCTATGTGTCTGACCTGTCCATAAGATTCATCCGTGTTGTAATGTGTATCCATAGTTTATTTCTTTTTGCTACTCAGCAGTGTTCCATTGCATGAATATACCATGATTTGTTTATCCTTTCTCCTCTTTATGGAAATCTGGGTTTTTTACAATTTGTGGCTATTGTAAATAAGTTATGAACATCCTTTGTGGACTTATTTTTTAATTTTTGAAATAACTAGGAGTAGAATTGTAGGGTCATGGAGTAGGCACATGTTTAACTTTGTAAGAAACTGCGAGAAAGTTTTCTTAAGTGTTTACATACAGTTTTACACTCCCACCAGCAATGATAAGAGTTCCATTTCCAAATCCTTGCCAACATTTGGTGTTGTCCGTCTTTTTAATTTTCACCATTCTCATAATAGATGTGAAATATCTCACTATGATTTTAATTTGCATGATGACTGATGATGTACCTTTTCATATGCTTATTGGTGGTTTATCATTTTTCTAAAATAATCTGCTCAAGTCTCTGGCCGTTTTTTTATTAGACTACTTATTACTGAATCATAGGAATCCTGGAAGTCCTTCATCAGATTTATGTATTGCTAGCATTTTCCCCCAATCTGTGGCTTGCCTGTATATTTTCTTAATTGTGACTCTGGGGAACAGAATGTTTTATTTTGATGAAGTGCAATTTTTTTTCCTTTTATGGTTAAGTTCTTTTTGTGTCTTCTAAAAACTCCTTGGTGACCCCAAGGTCATGAGGATATTTTCCTGTGTTTCTTCTGAAAGCGTTATACTCCTAACTTTTATGTTTCGGTCATCTCAAATTCATCTGTGTGTGATGTGAGGCAAAGAATAAGGATCTTCCTTCCCCCCAACCCTCCATAAGGTTGTATGTTTGGTTTAGCTCCATGTATTGAAAATAATCTCTTCCTCCTTTGAATTAGTATGGTACCTTTGTTTAAAATTAATTGACTATGTAAGTATGGGTCTATTTCTGGATTCTGTTCTGTTCTATTCATTTATCTTTGCACTAATAGCACACTGCCTTGATTACTATGGCTTTATAGTTTGCTTTGAGTTGAAGTTGCCAAGATTGTTTGGCTATCCTAGGTCATTTGTATTTCCATATAAATTTTGAAATCAGTTGATCAATTTCTCAAAACCCAAAAACCTGATGTGGTTTTGATTTGTATTGCTCTAATCTATAGATCAATCTAGAAAGAATGGACAGCTTAACAATATTGAGTCCTCCAATCCGTGAACATGGTATATCTCTCCATTTATTTTGTCTCAGTGATGTTTTGTAGACATCTGGCAAATCCCTTGATAAAGTCCTAAATTTTTTATGGTTTTTGATGTTATTGTAAGTGGAATTATTTTAGAATTCATTTTCCAGTTACTCAACTAGAACACAGAAATATAATTAATTTTGTATGCATTTCTGAAATGAAATAAATAATATGATCCCAGACAAATCAAGTTTGACTTTGTAACCTATAACCTTGCTAAATGTACTCACTTGTGCTAGTAGGGTTTTCCCCCTTTTTAATAAAGAATCCTTTGGGTTTTCATGTACACAATCATGTCATCTAAGAACGACAAGTTTTAGTTTTTGCCTTTCCAATCTTTGCCTTTGCCTTTCCTCTCTTGTTACTGCCCTGTCAAACTGGCTAGTACTTCTGGTACAGTGTTAAATAAGCATGGTGAGAGAACCACGAATAGATGTTGAATTTTGAAAAATGCTTTTTCTTCATTTACTGAGATGATGTTTTAATTTTTTAAATTTGGTAATAGAGTTAATTATTTGGTTGATTTTTCAAATATTTAACCAACTTTGCATTCCTGAAATAAATCTCACTTGCTTATGATGTGTTATCCTTTTGTATTTTGCTGTTTGATTTGTTAATACTGTATTAGGGTTTTTTGTAGCTATGCTTATGGAGGAAATCATTCTGTAATTTCCTTATAATGTTCTTGGCAGCTTTTAGTATTAGGGTTATTGTGGCCTTGTAAAATGATTTGGGAAGTGTTCCCTCCTTCCCTATTTTCTGGAAGACTTTATGATAAGGTTGGTATTATTTCTTCTTTTAATATTTTGAAGAATCCCATCATTTAAGTCATGTAGGCCTAGAGCTTTTTATTTGTGGGAAAGTTTTAGATTTCACATTCAATTTCTGAAACATACAGGGCTAGTCAATTTCCTTTTTATTTATTTATTTAAATAGATTTAGGGAATATATGTGGCTTTTTGTTACTTGGATGAATTGGATAATGAAGATGTCTAGGCTTTTAATATACCCATCACCCAAATAGTGTACGGTGTATCCAATAGGTAATTTTTCATCCTGTACTCCCTCCCACCCTTCTCCAATGTTCATTATGTTGCTCTGGATGACTATGCATACTCATTGTTTAGCTCACACTTATAAGTAAGAACATGTGGTATTTGGTTTTTGTTCTTGGGTTACTTCACTTAGAATAATGGCCTCTAGTTCCATCCAAGTGACTGAAAAAGACATTATTTCATCCTTTTTTGATGGCTGTGTGTATTCCACGGTAT